ACATTGTAAGTATTTGGGTAGGAATGTGTGGATGTGTGATTTTAGCCTCTCTTTGATGTCCTAACTCATTAGGTTCAGAACAAAGGCTTCAAATTGTGTAAAAGTTTACTGTGATTCATTGACTGACAATAAACTTCGTTCGTTAAGTTTTTTTTTTTGATATTATTCGTTAAATTTATTTTATTTATCACTTCTGTCTTTTACTCTTTTTTCTTCATCGATCACCTAAAACCTATAATTTGCTCCCACCACACACACACAAGTAATTAAATTAGCTACTGTCTTATTAAGTCACTCATAAAATTAAATAAATGGTGATATGTCATAAAATCAACATAAAGCAGAAAAGAGAAATAGACATATTAAAAAGGAAACTAGAAATATATCACGAAGATCATCTTCAAAAAAACACAACGAAAAATAAAAATATAATTTTTCCTACCAATCAAGCTATACATATATCTCTTTAAATTAGCCCCAGTTAGCTAGGATATTTAAAAACTCATAAATTATAAGTATAGGTAAAGGAACCACTCAAGAATCCCTTATCAAAGTCACAATAAAATAAATTTGATAAGGGAGTTGTACTCAAACTACAAGTGTTAAAACTACTTAGCATAAGTAATTTTTTTTTATCATTATAGCTCTGAATCCTGCTTATAATAAATATGATTTTCCTTAATAACTATGAATTAGATATATATATATATATATATATATATCACGAGGATGCCATTTTTATAAATTGAAATCGAATGGATAAAAGGGAACAAGGGTAGTGATTAATAAATGGGATTTCCCCCGTCTTTCTCTTTTGGCTTCCCCAGGACGAATTGTGCTGAAATTGGAGGGAGAAAAAGATATTCTAACAAAGAGACATAGCAAATCAGATATGCCCAACTTTACATTCTAACAACCAACTTTCCTTTTTTGCTTTTACTATTTTAATTGTTTTCTTTGAACAAAGAAATATTATTTCTTTTATTAGGGCATGCAAAATAAGTTCCTTCAGTAAAATAACATAGGACAACTTCTTTAAACTGGAATTATATGATTGAATAGGTGCAAGTACTGATAATGTGGGGTTCATTAGAGTTGAACTAATTATAATAATTAAAATATTATATACTTCAAACTAATAAAGTGTGCTGCATGTATTATTTTGAAACCACATTTTTATGTCATAATTCGTATACCGGTTGTATCATCGATAAAGGATTAGAACTCATAACCTCATATTTAAGAAACACTAATGAAATACCCACTAGGCTTTTTACATTTATCGTTATTGATGATTTGTCTTCAAATAAACTAGAGAAGGCGGATTTTTTAATAAAGCAAACAGAACATAACATGAGCCAATTAAATTTATTGCAGGAGAAATTAATTTAAAATAAATACTCCCAAAATATACATGTTATTTAAACTCTTTTCAACAACTAATATTGAAAAAAGCAACGCCTTCTATGGACTGCATATCTTTACCAATTAAATCAATCAAATAAATGGCAAGAAAGTTGATTTCCAGAGAACTCGATCAATCACACAAGGATTGGAAGATTGGGATTCAACTTAATTATCAAATTACTATTGCCCCTTCAAAATTGATTATAACAATTAGCGTGGCTTAAAATGTCTTAACAATCTCTGATGTAGTCCCTTTTTTAATTTAGCATTGAATTCGTTCACACTAGACACATAATATAACTAATTAAACTATGAAGCTATATGTGTCTATTTTTCTAAACATACAAACATAGGTAAAAGAACTACTTAAGAGGATAGCAAAATGGGTTAATCTTCGACAATGTGGCAAATCAAGAGTTGAATCCCTATTAAAGAAGATGCCTCCATGTAATGTCCAAAAATGCCCCAAGAGTTATGCTCTAACTATAAAAGTGCTAGAATACGAATTTTTTACTTAACATATAGATTACGAATCACAAGAAATTAAACTTCATGAGAGTTATGCTCAAACTATAAACGTGTTAGAATTACCTAACATAAGCAATTTTTTTTCTTATCACTTTAGCTCTGAAGATGCCGCTATTTCTCCTTTATAGAAATCTAAAAATATGAATTAATCAATTACGGAATATAATTATCAAAATTTAACTCAATTTAACTGATAAATATATTTTTTTTAATAATTATAAATTAGACATGTCACCAGGATGCCATGCCTTTTTATAAATTGAAATCGAAGGCATAAAAAAGGGAAGTCACTAATATAAACGGGTTTTCCCTAAGAGGAATTACTCTGAAATTGGAGAAAAAAGATAACAAAGAGCCATAGCAAATCAGGCACGCCAACTTTACATTCTAACAACCAACTTCCCTTTTTGCTTTTATTATTTTAATTTTTTTTCTTTGGACAAAGAATTTCTTTCTGGCACGCAAAATAAGTTCCTCCTGTAAAATATAACCTAGGACAACTTCTTTAAAGTGGAACATAATTATATGATTGAATAGGTGCAAGTACTGAGGTGGGGGTCATTATTGGAATAATCAAAATATTATATTTATGTACACAAGTTAGTTATAATTATATTTCAAACAATTATTTAAAAAATTATTGAATTGGGAATTTCATTTAATGAGAGAGAAATTGGTCCATATGTAATTTATGTTTATTTTACTTTAAATTCTATTAATTTTATTTTAATATAACATTTTTGAAATCTTTATTTTGTTTGTGTCAATGAGTTGGTTTAACTAGATATCTTTTTATTTATGACTTCTTTCAATTTTTTCCAAATATATATGATGCTTCGCCTAAAATCCAATAATATGTTTTTTGAGTGAAAGATCTAATAATATGTTTAAATTGTATGTGTTGGTGTTGGTGTTGATGATGGTGAAAACATATGTATCTGTTCAATTTCTTTGCATATCAAATTTTGAAAACCCATTAAAAATGTTTTTTAAATTTTGACTTGTGTAAAAATGTAAATTTCTTTTATTTGTGAAATTTCTGCCATTTGCAAATTATAAGTTACACATATAGCACTGACTAAAAGACAATCTCATTCTGCACCGTAGACAAAAGTTTCAATTTTTTGTACAAAAACGAAAATATTTATGATATTTTCATTACTATTACTTAAGAATAATTTGTTCTATTGATTTTTTATGTTTATTAAATTATTTTTTGTTAATTTATTTGCTATTTTCCTTGCATATATTCTGCGCATCAGGCAATCTGATAAATCTCTTTCGAAATTATCATAATGTTCCCCTAAGCCAACATCTCCACGTTAATCATGTCTCTTTGCCTTTCTCTCACTTTAATTCAATAGGTAGACAAGAGATTCCTTTTAGAGTCAGCTAGACCTAATTAAATAAGGAATATTGTCATTTAAGCTCCAAAACAAAAAATCAATGACAGTTTGGTTCTAAAAAAATTGCTGAAAAATGAACTGCAGTCTTGCAGATCGATATCGATTCAAACAGTTACAAAGTGAAATCCCATAATCGGTATTTACAACTTAATTTTTAGAAGAAGCTGTAAAAGATCTAACTGTTATTAATTCAATCACTTAAACTTTATGAACATTCTCCCATTAAACAACTCAAATTGAGTCGTTAGAAGGAAACCTCTTAGGCTTCAAAGTCATTTGTATTAATGACTAATAGAATCGGTTGGAAGTCACGTATCTTTTGTAAAATTATATTATACTCCTCCTGTTCTTAATATAGGACCTAGTTGTTAAGCTAATTTTGGTCCTAAATATAAGACTTATTTATCATATTTATCAATTTTTCCTACCCCCTATAAATACTCTCTCAACTATAATCAAGTAAATGAAGCAAAAAGGATATTAAGAAAGATGATTATGGTGTTTTAGAAAAAACATATCATATTTTTTATAATTAACTAATTTACCTAACTTCCTTAATCTAATCAAATTAATTAAAAAGGTTTTATATTAAGGACCAGAGGAGTACAATATACTCAGAGAGAGAGAGAGAGACATAGAGAGAGAGGAGAGACATACTCCCTCCCATTCGTTTTATAATACATTTCTAATTAATTCAAACGTATTAATATGATAAAAGAAGTTAACAACAATAAATCTATAATAACAGCTCCGGTACTTTGATATTCAATACCATTTTTTTAAGATAGTCATTATAGTAATTGCACATATTAAAGGTTTTATCAAATGATGGTTCTAACCAATACACATAATTAAAAAAGGTATTTTAGAAAAAACAACACATATTTATTATAAATAACTAAATTAACAAACTTTCTTAATCTACTTAAACTAGTCAACTAATTCTTATATTAAAGACTGAAAGTAATAGTATTCATATTTATCACACTAAACTCCAACATCATATATTAATTTTTACTTTCTTACTATCCTTATTATATATGGACATCCATAGAAAAAAAATATTTAATATTCATCGATAGAAATTATCAAAATGTCGTATAAAATGACCAAAAAAGACGTCTTGTAGAATGGACCGGAGGAAATATATAGGGAGAGAGGTCACACACACACAACAGTGGATTACGGACAATTCATTCTTTGCAGTGTTCACAATTAATCTGGTAATATTCTGCTTCCTTTTGCCTTTAGGATAATGAATATATATATTATCGCTTATTCTTTTCTTGAAGGGTTTGAACACAATCAGAGATAAGACACGGAATCTTTCTGAAAAGCAAAAGTTAAAAACCAACATCAGTTACAGTACTGTCGAGCTATTCCAAGCTTAACATCATTAACTAACTATTCAGCTTCATAAACAAATGTCTCATGAGACTTCATGTTCCAAACAGATATAGAAAAGGAAAGGCTACCTGAGAAGCTATCATCATCAATAAAGCCTATAAACAATATACGAATTAAATAATAACTCTTTTGTAAAAGTGACTTATATTATTTGTACTCTTAACTTGTTGATCTCTGATGAAGCCTATAAATATTGCATAGCATGGCAGGGCCATAGCACAAGACAGACCTCATCGATCATTTGAATCCTTTAAGCAGATCGATTGATTTAATCGACCAGCTAGCTCTCGTTCGAAGCGATCGAACAATAATCATGTCGGAGTACTCGCAGAAGCCATTGGTGAGGCCCCTGACCCAGTTGGATAGTCAGGTGTTGGATTCAGTTTATGGTTGTTATGTCGTGAACAAGCCTGGTGAAACCTTCAATGTGGAGGCTCTTTTCAGTGTTGTCTCAGACATCATGGGTCCTTCCTTTGGTCTTGCTGATCCAAGCATTAAGGTCAATATCCTTCATCTTCTGCTCTCTCTCTCTCTCTCTCTCTCTCTCTCTCTCACAGAGAAAAGAATTCATCATCGTATTGGGGATTTAATTAATTTAGAGTAACCATTAATGTATATGATGCGTTTATTGTTTACAGTATGATCGACGAGACACGAAGGACAAGTCTTACCTTGCCAATTTCGAGCCACCGACACATCTCCTCAAGCATATTGCTTGTCAGGTTATTCCACAAATATAGTGTGTGCGCGCGCGCGCGCGCTTACACGATATTCCGGTCCCTATCAAACTGTATACTTTCTAAAAGAATTGAGTAATCCGTATTATTATAAATCACCAAGTGGGTATTAATTACATTTTTCTCAAGATTGCTCATATTTAAAGTTTGATGCAATGATCTTCCTTTTTTGCTTCCCAAAATGTATAGAATTCTTGATTTTAAATATGGTTAGGTTTTGAAATTTCTCCGTTTTCGAACAAATTATTGACTTGAGCTTATCTCCTTACTTCTAATGAGATGATTGGAGGTTCCTTATAATAGGAACCGGACAGAGTACTTCTACATCATTTTCATTGAACCAAACTCAAAACACAAAGTATCTTGTAATTATTTGGCATGTATATATGGTGAACAGATGATGGAAACACCACATGATGAGCACCACTCATATGCGCACGAGACAACAATGGGGATTCTGAAAGACCTAGACGCATATTCATGGTGTGCAAAAGCAGTGACAGCACTGGCAGCATTTGCATTGGAATATGGGAATTTCTGGCATCTTTTTCAGGTTCCAAAAGAAGACAACCTTGGAAAATCATTGGCTGTGTTGAACCATGTTCAAGCTTTTGAGAGAAACCGAAGGGACATCTTCGACTACAACCTCGTCGTCAAGACTGCTTTCCTCTCCGTCGATTGTCTGGTTAGGTTAGAGAGAATGTCCAAACAAGGCTATGACGTTAAGGACGACATCCCTACTTTGGAAACGGCCATCCAGGAATTCCCTGTCTTTGTTTACTGGATCGTCCTCACCATTGTTGTCTGTGCAAGTTATCTCGATATCCTCATGGGTTACTCGTAAGTTCTCCATATAAGAGTTAGATGAATTTGATTTATAACAATTAAAAAAATTAGTTAAGTTAGTTATTATGATGGTTTTCTTAAAATGCACCCTTTAATCATTTGATTACATTGAGAACTACTCTTAGGACTCCCTTTTGGCGGTATGTGTAATTAATAAGATTGTTTACTAAAAAGAATTAATAAACTTTGTGATGAGACTACTTTTATGGTCAAATATTTGAAAAGCAAGTTTGGAATACAATAAATTAATTTTCAAATTGTTGCTTTTTTTTTTTATATGAGAATCTGGTATTTTATGTTGCTAAGTGTTGTCTTTTCATCAGGTCGAGTGCATATGAATTATCCAGTATTAGCAGCAAGATTTCAGCTGTTCTCATCAAATTAAAGGATTATCTGGCCAAGATAGACAATGAGAAAGGTGATGAAGATATGGTTTAATTAATTAATTTCTAATTTTCTATTTCATGACAGAGAGATTAAAAGTTGGATTCAAATCAAAGCTGATATATAATCAATAAGGCTTAATTATTATATTTTGTGTTTGTATTTGCAGCCCTGATAGATGAATACATTGGACGTTATAGGGTGGCATTTCAAACTCCCACAGAAATCGTACAGGTTTTGAAGTGCTTGCTTTTCCCCAGAGATTTGAAGGACCCACATGTTTATCATGGCTCCACTGGTTCAATGGTTTGTATTTCTTTTATTAAAGCATTCAATTTTGCATTTCCTTTTGGATTATCACTCATTCTTAGTTTGGATGAAGAGACAAATAGATAGATGAGAATACTATAAGAGAAAACTTTCAAAAATAGTTAAGTTTAATTTTTCTTTGTTGAGTTCTCTTCCTCCTTTTTTTTTCCCTCCCATTTTTCTCCTTAATCTAAACCAAGCCCAACGTTATGTTTGGATAGAGAGAAAAGTTAGAGAGAAAAAATAGGAAGAGGAAATACTAAAAAATTTTTTTAAAAATAATTAAAAAATTTAATATTTTGAAGAGTTTTTACTTTTAGTATTCTTTTGTTTTTAATTTTCTTCTCATCCAAACAAAAGATAAGAGCCTTGTGATCACTACATGCTTAAGGTCCATCGCATAGTTACCTTACTTGACGTGGCCTATTCTTTCCAAATATAGGAAAATCTGCAAAGAGAAAATAATGCTTTAGTGGGTCTCACACTTCAGGTGGGATCCACAAGCCATTCTCCTTTTCTCCCTCTACCTTTTTTTTGTTTTGGGCATCTTCCTTTTCTCTCTCTACCTGAACTCCATGTTCATTCAGAAAGGATATACATGTTTCCCATATGACTTCGCAGATAAAGATGTCAACTTTGCATATATACGAACTAAAGTCATGGCAAAATTACACATTTAACCCTAGACACTCGTAAAACTGAAGTAACTAGCTACTAATCATAAGATTCTCTTTTTGTACACTACAAAAACAAAAACAGGTGAGTATCGAAGTGTTCTGGCAAAAGCATGTTCTTCTGTTCCTTTCTGGGCTATACAGCATAGCAGACGAGACTCGTCTGCTAAAATCAATCCACGAAGGACTGATGAAAGATCCGAAGGAAGTAAAAGGTTTCAGAAAGGATGACTTCAAGATATTGTGGGCCCCAATAGTGGATGAACAGGTAGGAGGGGACACATCAGACAGGAAACAGTTCGAGGATCTGAAGAGACAAATGGACTGGTACGTTGTGGAATACTCCATTATTCCACCAATATGCAAGAAGCTGATAAGAGACAGGCTGAGGTACCAGAACAAGCCGATGGTTCCAGTGTTTAATCCTCAAGGTCGGCTCACAAACGAGAATGCCTTGCATATGTTGTTTGCTTGGGGTGACCCAGCTTTCCCTTGGGGCAAAGATGATGACTTGCATCTAAACATGAAGTGGAACTGGTTTTGGACTGAAATGAAGAAACACAACCCTAAAATTGACAGTTGGGTACGTACTATTTACACATGCATGATGATTTCCCATAACTTTACATTCTTTGTTAACTTAATTACTTAGATCTTCTCGCATCATATATATCAAAATATGTGCGTGTCAGTTTGTGTGTGCGTGCGTATATATGAGGTTATTTTTGTGAAGTATTTGCTGTGGTTCTAAATATGAGAACTGGGAGAAATATTTACTTTGATTTTAAATGTAAAATTCAATTCACTTTATTCAGTTTATTTATAATTTTTTTCCTAAAATCTGTTTCTATTAATTACACTTATTAAGGGGTTTTTTCAATGGGGTGGTTTTTAATGCAAATAATTAAAAAGAATGCTTTAGAGAATTCAATATACATTTCTTATAAATAATTAATTTAGAAATTAATTATCTAACTCTCGATATTTTAAAGTGAATGGAGTATTATGTTTCAATATATAAGGTCGTTTAGGATATTTCACATGCAATTATTGTATTTTTTGGGTCAAAAATGTCTTTACTATTATGACAAAATTACTTGGTAAAAAATAATTATTGTAAACAAATAGTTAATTGTGAGTTTAAAAATAATTAATTTTATAAAAAATTTATTGGCTAATCACCTAATTAAACACTTTTGGTTTAAAGTTTGTGAGACTAAACCCAACAACCTAAACTATGCCATGTAAAATCTTGGGCATATGCACAATAACATAAGATGACAGCTGAAACCCTGTTTTGTTCATGTGAATTCAGATCAAGGACGAAGGTTACATCGTCATCTATGGACGCACCGACACAGAATACTGCGACGACCAGTGGCTGCTGATCATGCCGGAGCAATTGGAGAGAGTGAAAAGGGACGAGGTCACAAAAAGATCAGACGTGGTCATAAATTACTACCACCATGGCAAAGGGAAGGATGAGCTGAGAATCGTTAATGGCTTCTGGGCTTACGTCGAGAACTTATTCGACAGCATGAAGAGGAAGACGACCAAAGATCCTTCCTTCGAAGAAGCTAAGGCCTTCCTCGGACTCCGACAAGAGCAAGCCGGCTGGGTTCTTCTGAGCAAAGGTGCCAACGTTAAACTGCTGTGTCGTGGTGACACATTTTATCAGACACTCAAAGAATTTGATGCCTGGAAACTCAACATTGAAAGGGATCCTGGTTTTGATGTTTCCTTTGCGAAACACTATGAAACTCTCTTCTCCAAGCTTCCTCATCATGCGAATTGCCTTCGTTTGGACGTTAAGTACCATGTTAGTGATATTTACAGTCCAATTTATTGCATGTGTGGTCGTCCCATGGATATTGAGCTAGTCAGATATGTTTGTTGCCATGGATATAAGGAGGAACCTGTGGATGCTGGCGATGTTCAGATTTTCCGGTGAGTAATGAAGGAAGATGAGGCCGGAAGGAAGGCCGGCCGGCCGGCGAGCTTTTGAAGAAAGCCGTGATGGTTTCAATTTATTGTTTATTTTGGTGAAGTGTTGTGGCAGACGAATTTGTTGGTGTGATTTTAGCCTCTTTGTGTCGTTGTTGTTAATGCCCTTTTTCATGGGGTTTAGAATAAATGGCTTCTAATTCGTCTGCTTTGTTATAATGTAAAAGTTGTTTTCCATTCAGACATCCATAATAAAATTCATTTCTTTCAACTTTTCTGTTGTTTTTTTTTTATATTATTTAAATCTATTGAGACAAATCTATATTTATTTATTCAAAATAAGAAGCTCATACCCCCTCCTCATAACACTTTTAAAATGTCTCTTAATTATACTACCTCCGCTCCTAATTATAAGAGCCAGTTGACTAATTTGAAGAAATTAAAGAAGTAAATTGAGTTAGTTATTTGTCCTAAATAGGTGTTGTTTTTCCTAAAATATCCTTGCTAATCAAGTGTATTAACTAGAACTATAATTATTAGAAGGATTATCTTGGAAAAAATTGAGTAAACATGAGAGACAAAGTGAATTGGGATCTTATATTTAGGATCAAAATAAAAGTCAAACAGGGTCTTATATTAAGGACCGGAGGTAGTATAATATTCCCTTGTCCATTGCTATTTACAGGAGACATTTCTTTTAAAGGGCATGTTTGTTTTCATATTTACCTTTAATTAATTATATGTTTCTTTCATCTTTTGTTTTCACTCATTCTTTCTACATTTTGTTGTACTCATTTTCCCTCCCACCCACATTATCTATAAATAAGGATTTTTTAAAAAAAAAAATTGTATTTGCTTTTCATATTTATTATTTTTAGCTAATTTTAATCAATTATTTATCAATGCGGTTTGATTAATCGTCTCTTATAGAAAATAATGGAGGGGATATGTTTTATCTAAAGTAATAATTTTTTAATTTAATAGAGAGCGAAGCGGGGGACTAAGAGGCGGGAGGACCAAGCGCTGTCATGGAGATCAAAGAAGACAAGTGATATGGGAAGTAGAACTAGTTGAAGAAGCAACTGTGAAAGATGAGAGAGAGCTACGAGATGGGGGGAAAGAGAAATCATGCATTATTTGTGAATCTCTAGCGTCTCACATGCCACATCATCCGGTGTCATCGTACTTAACGGCGTGTGAGGAAATCATTAACAGAAGCACTACTACAATGAAGACTTTTTACTTCTGTTTTGCATGACTTTTTACGTCTGTTTTGCAGGGGACATGAAAAGAAGGGACATAAAAAATACCCCCTTTTTACTTCTGTTTGGAACGGACGAGAATTCATGTCTGTTTTAAAAGAAACAGACGTGAATTCACGTCTGTTTTTGGGAAACAGACGTTAATTCACGTCTGTTTTTCGCTGAACAGATGTGAATGTACTCTGTTTTTTTTAAAGAAAGATTCAGTTCGTATATACTACTTCTCCTACAGCCACAATAGCCATAATAGCCACTTTCCAGCAAGTTGAAATAGTATGAACCAATCAATATTTTCAGCCAAGACATATCAACATCATAACTTCATCTATATAGACACATTAATTAACTAACTAGTCAAAAAAGAAGAACAAATTACAAAAGTCAATATTGATCCTATTGTCTCTAAACATAAACTTGCTCAATCCCTGGACCACAATTCTTGAAGCAGTTGCTGTGCCAAAAGGTCTCGGATGAAGTTAATGTCATCAATAGTATATGAACAATCATTATCAAAAATCTGTAAATTGACAAATGAACAAATTTAAACATGGAAGAAAATAAAATAAGTAACAATTCAATTTAAAAATTCAACTATTACAAAACTAAAATTATATTTACTTACCTCATCAAATTTTGTAATACATCTGCTCTCAATAATCTCAAACATATAACGGATAATGTAATATCCGCACTCTGTTGGCCCTTGTTGCTTAGCACACTGCAAATCACAAGGAAATGATAATCCAAATTCATATATAAAATAACTGCCATCAATGAAATAACTTCAATTTAAAGTACTCACACTAGGATATACCCAAGTTGTTGAGCCATTTTTCCCGGAACGCTTCCCACCGGTTATATAATAAGTCTTTAAAGCCCTATAAGCAAATAAAAGCACAAGTTAAATAATTTATATTGAAAACAAAATTACTGATCTACATTAAGGTACTTACGTGTTGAAAACGCCCCTCATCTCACTGCTTGGACGACGACCCAAGGGATCAAACCAGTAGATGACATTGTCAATGGGACAAGAAACACACAAACTCCAATGACAACTGCATCATAGAGTAAGACTTATACATTACTGGATATTACAATAATTCTTAACAATTTAAGTATGTATAAATAAATATAATTAAGCTACTTGCCCTTCAATAGTTGGTGCCAAATAACAAGGTAATTTAGTGTCTCCAATCGTATTGCCCACATATCTGATTCTCCTATCTAGTGGGTTGTACTTCTTCTGGACACTTGCAGGGCATAAATATCCATACAAATTTCTCTTCTCCATTGATGACATGCATTTGTTATGGAAGAAGCTATCATTGAATTGAAATAAGATAATTATTAGTATGTGAAAGTAAGAAATTAGAAATTTAAGTTAGAAATGAAAAAGTAAACTTACATGATTGCTAATTGAACCCATGCTATGTCCAACTCCTTCAAGGATAACAAATCCCTGATGTCTTTGTTGTCAAGTCCAAAGAAATATGATTTTTCTTCACCCACAATCCCTACAGGCATCTTTATGTCGACCTTGTTAATTGTTTTATATTCCTCATATAATTGTGCTAAGCAGGGATATCTATTAACATCTTCCTGGTCCTAATGAAACATTAAATAAACATAATAAGTATTATGTTAAAAAAAATGCACACAATATAGAATAACATTTTCTTACCATCACAGGTATTATCTCCTCATCAACAAGGTGTCTAAGCCAAAGAATGAAAGTTCCAATTGCCTAACCTAACTTCACAACTTCAGCAGTTGGGAATGGCACATCCACACCTGTCTCTCCCTCTCGAACAGTCGTAACTGTAACCCTCGCTTGGTCCTCTTGAATATGTTGGTGATGGATAGTGCTCCCTTGATTGTAGAGGAGAGTGTCAGCAACAACACGCATCCTTGGGACCTCTAAACGAAGACAACAAGGTTGTCCAAAGTCCGGCGTGGGACTACTAGGATCATGTTCTCCCAATGCCCCCGGTGGATTACAACTGTTTTTAGTGCTAGGAAAGACGGGGGAATCCTAAATGAGAGAAATGCAAGTATTAAATTAAATTAAAAAAAACGTTGGTAAAACTCAACATTAATTTAAGTGAAATTGATTACAAACCTGGGGTGTGCATTGTTGTTGAACTGTCCCAATTTGCATGCTAGAGACCATAGATTTCATCTCATCACGAAGCTCAGCCATAAGCTCTTTTCGAAGTACTGGCGTAACTGGGCCTCAATCTTGACCTCTAGCTCAGATTGGAGCTCATCACGAACTTGGTCTCGAAGTTTAGCTATCATCTCATCAGTGGGTTGACTTCGTAGAGAAGCTCGTGAAGTTTGTCCAAAATATTGGGTAAGACCAACTGTCCTTCCTTCTCCTCTAACGCGTCCGGGGTGATCAGGCTTCCCAATCGCTGTCGCTAAAATGCCCATCCTTCCACTCGGACTAAATGAACCTTCACTGCTTTGCTCTTCAAGTACCTCCTATAACATTTTAAGTATGATAAAAAATTAATGACAGTATAATAGAAAATTAATGATAAAATATAAGGAATATTACCATAAGTTAAAGTTATTTGATGTATACAACTTACAATTTTCTTGGTTCAAGACCAAATTCTGGAAACATTTCATCTATTTTCTGCCATTGAGGAGAATCAGCAGGATGCCGAAGATATCTTTCATCTGATATTCTCTCATCAAAATGCCATCTTAACTTCTTCACTTCTGTTGCATTAGCAAATAAGCGCTTAAATCGTGGTATTATTAGAAGATACCATAACACCTTCAAAGGTTGCCCTTTACTTGTCTCATCACCATCATAGTTACCAGCACAGTCCATGTTCTTTTTCACCTTGTATCGTGAAGTTTTACATTTTGGGCACTCACGTAGACCAGCATACTCTTTTCTATATAATACACAGTCATTAGGACAAGCGTGTATCTTTTCATAGCCCATACCCATCCGAGACAAGATTTTCTTTGCTTCATACACACGATTTGGAAGAACGTTATCAATTGGAAGCATATCACTAATCAATTGAAGCAACTCCGTGAAACTTTTGTCAGTCCACCCATTATTTGCTTTTAAACTGAACAATTTCAATACAGCTGTCAATCGTGTATACTTAGAACACCCAGGGTACAAAGGCATCTCTGCATCACTCTTCAAGTTATCATTTGCATGTGATTGCACAAAGAACTCTACCCCTACATCACGAATCATATCGCTCATTCTATCATTTACATCATCCATAACTTCCTCTTCTTCGAGTATTGAACTTGTTCCTACTTCATCATGCCATATCCATCTTGTATATCGAAGATTTATACCATCACAAAGCAGGTGATCTCTAATATCATCAACACTTAGTCGCCTCTCATTTAAACACTTGACACAGGGACAAAAATACATTCCGTTATTGCTAGGAGCATTCTGTTTAGCAAATTCAATAAATCGTTCTACTCCGTTCTCATATTCATCACTTGTTCTCAAAGCATTCATCCAACTATGATCCATTCCGTTACTACCTGAGGAATTATAAACAATTTAATTCCATTCAGCACAGTCCCAATAAACATTAACCAAATTCAAAACTAATGATATCAATTGAATCCGATTCATTCCAATTACAACATAAATCATGCCAATTCCAAGCAAATGATTTCAAACTTCAAATCTATTACCCAATCAATGTAAACAAATTTTAACTTATCTAAATGCAATTTTTTCATTAATCATTTAATGTATACCCAATCCTTAATCTAAATTCAACACATATAGCAAACTATCTAATGCAATCCCTCTTAGGCATTTTGACAAACAACTTGTATGCATTATTTTTCTAACAAGATTAACAAGGCTTGAAATCATTAAAATTTCTACCCAATCAATATATACAAATTTAAAACTATCTAAACACAATTCTTCAGTAAAAATTTAAACAACAACCTCAGAAACCAATTCAAAACTCCTCAAGCTACTCAAACCCACCGTACAACACACTAAACCCACAATGCAACGGTTGAATAAACTTACCTTCACTGTTTGGTGTGCCTTCAAATCAATGGCCTACAGTGCGTGTGAGCTTCACGGCTTCAACGGCGAGATAGCTGCTAGCTTCGCGGTACACAGATCTTCACGGCTTAACGGCGAGCTGCTGCAACACAGCTACTGCAGAACGCAATGGAGGGAGGGCTACGGCCTTGAAGAGCTGAAACCAGAAGGAGAGACCGAAACAAGTTGAAATAGCTCACGGCTACTTCACGGACAAGAGGAAAATGAGAGGGAGAGACCGAAAATGAAAGTTGGGGGCGAGATAGCTGCGAGCTGGAGTTCTTCGCGCGCAGTACATGCAGATCTGATAGATAACTGATGCGAGCTGCTGCGGGCAAATTTTTTTTAAAAATGAAGCCCCTTCACGTTGTTTACTTGGAAACAGACGTGAATTCACGTCTGTTTCTAAGAAACAGACGTGAAGTAACGTCTGTTATAGAGAAACAGACGTTAATTCACGTCTGTTTTGGGTAAACGGACGTGAATTCACATCTGTTTTGGTCAACGGACGTGAATTCACATCTGTTTTGTTTAAAACAGACATGAAGTCTCTTCTGTTTTGCAAAACAGACATAAACGAGGAGGTAAATAACACATTTTGTTGTAATGAAGGATTGATTTCTTTAATTAAATAAACTATAAGGATCCAATAAAAAGAAATAAAAGTATAGGACCTGATTCAAAATCTAATAAAACCATAAGGACTGTAAGATTAATTTTCCCTTATATAATATTCCCTCGTCCCTTGCTATTTACGGGAGACATTTCTTTTAAAGGGCATGTTTGTTTTCATATTTACCTTTAATTAATTACCTGTTTCTTTCATCTTTTGTTTTCGCTCATTCTTTCTACATTTTGTTGTACTCTTTTTCTCTCCCACCAACATTATTTATAAATAAGGTTTTTTTTTGAAAAATAAATTGTATTTACTTTTTATATTTATTATTTTTAATTAATTTTAATCGATTATTTATCAATGTGGTTGGATTAATCGTCTCTTATAGAAAATAATGGAGGGAATATGTTTTATCTAAAGTAATAATTTTTTAATTTAATATCCCAACTAATAACTATAATGAAAAATAGTTAATTTTAACTAATTAAAATTTATTAATTTACATAGAATTATCAATAGGTATTTATAAATAGTCAAGTAACTGAGATGATAATTAGATCCTGAATTCATCAATTGTCATTAATAAAACTTATTATACTCCTCCTGTCCTTATTAAGACCCCATTGATTTTTTATTTGGTCCTAATTATAGACCCCAATCCATTTTGTCTTTATATGATGCATTTTTTTTCCAAGATAATCCTTCTAATAATGATAGTTTTAGCCATATACTTAATTAGCAAGGTATTTTAGGAATGACAATACTATTATTATAAATAACCACTTAACTTATTTCCTTAATCTCCTCAAATAAGTCAATTGGGTCTTATAATTAGGACGAAGGAGTATTACCGATAATATATTTTGCGACTTAAAAATTCATATTTATAAAATTCAGGCAAAAAAAAATGCATGTATAAAAGAAACCCTTTCTCCCATTTCCAGTCTTCTCCCCCTCCAACCCAAATTCAAATTGTCTCCGCCTCTACAGCTTTCCGATCGTCTCTTCCCAGAGAAACAAGAAAGCTAAACCCTAAACCGCCATAGTTATATCATTTCCAATCCATCGCCAACATGCTCAAAGCCGTAGGTACGTAATTAAACTCTTTTTTGCATTGATCTGTGTTAAATTCTGCGTCGTCGCGTTTCTTCTAATTTCTTCTAATTCGACGATCTTATTTTCTTTGACTTCAAAGAATGAATTAATCTTTCTTCTTCGATCTTCTTATCTTGTTCTAACAGCAATCTTCAACCGTCACAAGAATGCTCGTCGATTCAAGGATTATTACGGCCACTGGTTCAACACTCTCAAGAACAACCTCCTCCCTCTCCCTCCGCCGCTCGCTGTCGCATCCTGATTCCCCCACCGTCCTCTCTACTCACGTCGACCTCCTCCACCAGCATTTCCAATCTCTCTACCACGCCCTAGATCTCGCCGCCTCCAGTGAAGACGACATCGCCGTCCTCCTCTTCCCCGACTGGCGCTCCTCCCTCGAGAAGCCCCTCATCTGGCTTGGCGACCTCCACCCCTACCTCTTCACCAACCTCGTCCGCTGCTTCCTCCAAGAAGACGACGACCTCACCGTCGCCGAAGCAGACGACGGCTACTTCATCCGCAAAAACAACATAACGGTACCGGACCAGTTTCAGGAGCGTCCGTGGCAGGTGGCCATGTCGTGGAGGAACCCGTCGGAGGAGTTGGTGGCTAGAATGGATGAGATTGAACAAGGGCTGAGAGTGATGGTGCCGATGCTGACGATGCGGATGCGGAATGCGGAGGCGGAGTTCGTGGACAGGGTGGTTGAAGGGTGGTACCCAAGCAGGGGCCGGAAGGGAGCGGCGGCGAAAGTGGCGGTGGGGTCGATTCTATCTGAGCACATGGAGGAGCTGGTGAGCATATTTCTGGATGCGAATAGGCTGAGGAGAAGCGTGATCGGAGAAATCGTGGGGAAGACGAGCGTTTATCAGGCAGCTCTGTTTCTGGAAGCATTGGCTCAGTTCTTGATTGGGTTCAGAGATCAGGAACTGGTCAGTGCCATGGAATGTTCCAAATCTTCAACAACTCAAACCACCACAGATGCTCGTCCCAGGCATCACTGAGTCACAAGTAGTACCGTTTTTCCCCTCAGATTTTGAGTCTTTCCCAGCAGAGCAATTCTGGAATTTGAAAATTTAAGGGTATTATGCCGATTCTCCAACTCTGTTTCTGCCATTTATTATTCTGTTTACTGCTTATAGATTAATATGATCGGTAATGAATATCGATTTTAACATCACTGATCATGTTCATTTGAATTGTTTTGATTTGTAGGAGGTGATCAGTTTATGTATTGACTAGAAAGGGAGATTCAAGAAGAGGAAAGTGCACATACGATGCTGCCTGGTTAGAAAATGTAAATGACAGTGTAATTAGTAGTGATTGATAAATTTTTGCCCTTGGGATTCATGTGAAGCAGACAATTATGTGCAATTGGTATATGGATATGCCATTTTATTGGATTCAATTCATTACCCTTTTTTTCCACTGAAATAAATGCATATGAATTGTGTTCTCAGTGAATAGAATAAACATATGGGAATTCAGGAATTCGGAATCAATTATCATACAGAATTTGGAAGATAATATGAATTGTTTGCAACTTGAATAAAATGACCTATATATTGATAATTTTATACATTGACCTGAATTTATTTCAAGATGAATCATCACCCAACTCGAGTATAAAAAACTATCATCTAATCAATCTATTAATATCAATAAAGTTTACAATAAATAATAGTATTGCGGTGTTGAATAGTGTCAGTTATTTTAATTTATATGTAACGCATGAATATATATATATATGTGTGTGTGTGTGTGGTGTGTGTTTATTTTAATTTTTAATTTTGACAAGAGTAATGGAAATGTAAAATATTCATTCCCCCCCCCCCCCACCAATGGAAATGAAGAACACTAACATATTTGTATATTTAAATATAACAGATAAATTGCTCCTTCAAAAAATAACTAATTAATTATATACTTCATCCAAGTATAAAGCTGTGTACAGAGGGTATAGACACCAGATTTATTTTTATACGTTTAACTATTTTCTTCTACCTTTGCCCTCTTGTTTGGTTTCTGATGTTGTAGAAGGAGACTCTGCCTTCAGTTGCTTCGGTCATTCGAACTAAGATCGATGAATATACAACAAATCAAGCTTTTACTTCGCCGGAAATCACACTGAACATGACCATGTCTCTGGATTTTCCTTTCATGATCAAGAATTTCCTGAGAACTCCTTCCCTCTGAAATCCAGCCTTCTCTAATACTCTCTGAGACGCCACATTCTCAACATCAACCAGAGCTTCAAGCCTCTGCAGATCTGGCAAATCAGCGAACGCCATTTCAACCACCTGCTTTACCGCCTTCGTCGCGATACCTTTCCCCCAATACTTGGACCCCAAAACATACCCCAGTTCTGCAGTTTTGGCTCTCGCTTTGTCGTCCCCTGAGTAGGATCGAACAGACATAGACCCAATCGCTCGATCGCCGAGGCAAATCGCTCGGAACAGTGAACAATTTTGGGCGTTGTTTTGGATGAAATCGACGGCGGCGTCTCTGCTTGTGTAGGGTTCCCAGGTGCAGAATTTGGCAACTCGTTCATCGGTGGCCCAGACCATGAAATCGTCGATGTCAGAAAGCAAGAGAGGTCGGAGACAGACGTGAGCCAAATCGAAAGTGTCAGGTTCCATGATTGAATGAGGGAAGGTTTTCGCTGTGGGGGGTATATTTGGAAGAATGAAGAAGTGGACCCGGAGGATTTGCGTGGGGACCAAGCAAAAGGAAGAAGAAGCCGACAGGATAAGATGGAAGATGACAGAAATTGATATATTTAGTGGCTTCCCGCCGCCCTAAGAATTCATAATCAGTCAAATGGTCCACAACTTTGACCAACCACCTAGACTTCTTTCTTCCTTTCTTAGGCCAGCAACTACACGGAGGTTTCTAGTGAGTATAAGTTGTGTACACTAATTAAATGAATTATTTTAAAATATTTATATTTATTATTCTTAAACTAATTTATCTTATTTTTAAATTGACATATGATTTAATGATACATATAAGTTTTAAAAAAAAATTGGTAACATGTATTATAATTAAATAATTTTATTAATTTTATTAATTTTTTATAATTAATTAATTAATTTTAATATTAAGTACTAGCTAACACTTTTTAAAGATGTGTGGGCAGATTTTGCGTCTCTTCAAATTAAACAGCCAATTTATGAGCCTTCTTAATAACCGAGTAACCTGCACACCAAATCAGAAAAATCTTGCCTATCCCGCCAAACAGCGTTAGGGAACTATCACCTGCACTGCTATATGCCTAAAGGATTGAACCTGTAACCTTTGATTAAGTTGGAACAACTCCTTACCATTTGATCCAAGTATTTAGTGGTCTAATCATGCTTCTTATTAGTTTTCATTAACAATAAGCCTTCTTGAAATACATTCATTTTATAGAGATTGTTTGAAATAACTTAAAAATAATTTTTTAATTATAATTTATAAAATACAAAGTAAATATGAAGGAAAAATCTTATTTCAATTTACATAAAACTTGCTTATAAATTCTTTTAAACGCTATCATAAATAGATTGAAAGTCTCTCTGTGACGAATGAAAGTTGACAAATGTAATAATTGTTCAGTGGGTAGATGTCCTCTCTCCTAATCTTTTGTGATTATGCCATCATAAATGGTTAATCACCAATTTAATCAATTTTAAGCCATGGCCAATCACCAATAGTTTAATGCAGCAGGATCTTGAGGGGAACTAAAATACTGTCTCCGATCTTTCTTTTTTTTTTTTTTCAAGTTACAATTTTTTAAATGTGTTTCATCCTTTTTACAACCTAAATTTTGTAGATGTTTGTGAACGTTTGGTGCTTTCTTTTCCTTTTTACTTTTAATTGATTACATGTATTATTGTTTCATATATTTTTTTCATTTATTCTTTCTCTTTGTCCTTTCTATTATAAGGATGTATTTGAAAAATACATTTTTATATATTTATTATATCTAATTAATTTTAACTAATTTTTAATCGACATGATTTAGTTATTTGTTTTAGCTCAATATGTAATTTGGTAGCATCCTCCACTTCCTCCACTTTTTTTTTTTTAATCATTGGATCAACTTTAAAGGGTTAGGATTACAATATTATATAAAAATATTATACTATCAAATAAAAAAAAATATTTATAATTAAATTTAAATTATTAAAAATTTGATCTAAACAGCTTACCTACTTTTATTAAAATATTTAGTCAAAAACTGCTTTTAGTAAAATATTTATATTCTTTTTATCTTTTATTTTTATAGAATGTTATGTCAAGATAAAGGAGAAGGGAAGTGGAGAGGATTTTTTCCATTTATCATCTTGACTCACGCATACGCCATCTAAAATTAATAAAGCAATTATCGCCAGAAATCATATCATTAATCCATAAACATGCGTTAAATTGTAGGACGCTTGGCAACAGGATGGACATCAACCAACTATTCTCCTCTCATATATCACTGCGCCACTTATTATGATTCACTTATGACTGGTCTGATATATTAATAAATGCATTAAACTGATAATTTTTTTAACTTACCGAATTAAAAAAGTAAAATTATAAATATTTTATAAATGACTTATATTTGAGACTAAAACTTTTTCCTACAAATCACTTATAGTAAGGAAGGGTGATACCACTCTGGTCCTTAATATAAATGATTTATAATATATTGTCTCATATTAAAAAACACATTAAATTAATAAATTTTTTAATTTTATCCGAAGATGAGTGTTTCTTAACCTTCCCAAGAATTCTTTTTCAGTTTTTCCAGCATTAAATTGTACTTAAATTTTTAGAAGAGATTAGAATAAGTAAAAAGGATATTATCAAAAAAAAATAAGTAAAAAGGATGCAGAGATTTTGAAAAATAATCGCTTTATTAATAATTACCATTATTTCAATGATATGAATTAACAAGGCCGTTGCCTTCCACGTCATTTCTCTGCTTGTTTGGTCTCTCACCATTGGAACCCGAAATCAAAGTCGCCAGCTTCAAGCTATGAACGATGAAGACAAATCAAGCTCCTACTTCATCGGAAATCACACTGAACATGACCATATCTCTGGATTTTCCTTTCATGAATAAGAATTTCCTGAGAATTCCTTCCCTTCGAAATCCAGCCTTCTCCAGAACTCTCTGAGACGCCACATTCTCAACATCCACCACAGCTTCAAGCCTCTCCAGATCTGGCAAATCTGCGAACGCCATTTCCACCACCTGCTTCACCACCTTCGTCGCGATCCCTTTCCCCCAATACTTGAACCCTAAGACGTACCCGAGTTCTGCGGATTTCGCCCTGCCTTCGTCGTTCCCTTCGAAGGATCGAACCGAAATAAAGCCAATCACGCGATCACCGAGGCAAATCGCCTGGAACAATGAGCAGCTTTTGGCGTTGTTTTGGATGTAATCGGCGGCGGCGTCTTTGCTTGTGGAGGATTCCCAAGTGCAGAATTTGGCGACTCTTTCGTCGGTGGCCCAGACCATGAAATCGTCGGCGTCGGAAAGCGAGAGGGGTCGGAGAGAGATATGAGCCAAATCGAAAGCGTCTTGTTCCATGATCAATTGTGGTTTGAATGAGAGGGATTTTCGCTGGGGACGTATTTATTGTGGGGAATAATGAAGAACTTGCCATGGAGGATTTGAGTGAAGATCAAGAAAAAGGAAGAAGTCGACGGGAGATGATGGAAGACAAAAGAAATTGAGATACTGAATGGCTTTCAGTCGCCTTACTGGATGACTTAAACAAGCACTCAAGAGTCAAAATATAAGTATTTTTAAAGATTTTAACACATAGTTTAAGAAATGATTAAAATAATGACCATGCTATGTTAAATTTGTCCTTAATTTAATATATTAAAATATTTTATATTACTTGTAATTAACTGGAGCGTGTAATAAAAATATGTTAACAAGTTAGGGTCCCGTAAACTAAATGACACGAAGCACCTCTCTTAAAACCTTCTTAAACCTATGGCTATACTTATTGAGAAAATGGCAACAACAAAAAATCGTGGAAATAAAAAAATTGTATAAAGGGGCTGGTTTACAAAAATTGTTGTCAAGACCTATTGGTGTCAAAACACAAACTAATATTGTCATGGGTTCTTATTTATTTTTTCCGTTCTTAATATAGGATCCAATTGTTGAGTTAGTTTTGATCCTAAGTATAACATCCATTTCTCATATTTATCAAATTTTTTTAAATTACTCCAATAGATATTCTCTCAACCATAATCAAGTAGAAGAGGAAGAGCGGGTATTAAGAAAAATAATTATGATATTTTAGGAAAAACGTGTCACATTTATTATAATTAACTAACTTACGTAACTTCTTTAATCTAATTAAATTAGTTAAATAGATTTTATATTAATAATCGGAGGAGTACAAGTTTTCTATTTTGACGGTCTTTCTTTTTTTAATCATTTTTTCATAATTATTTCAGGAGTCTGCGAAGGCCAAGAGAGTATGATGAGGGTGTGGATTATAGCAAAAACATATTACTACCTTTAGTCTTGAAAATAAGAAGTGGGCAGGTGATTGACTTTTATCCTAAATATAATCCACTTTATCTCGTATTATAATTTCTTCTCTAAATTCAAAATATTCCTATTAAAAGAGAGCGCCCATTAGAAGTTAGTTATAATACACATAATTAAAAAAAATGTATTTTAATAAAACCAATACATATATGTTATAAATAAATAACTTAATTAATTTTTTTAATATAAACAAATTAATTAGGTAATAACTCATATACTACCTTCGATCTTAAATATAAGATACAGTTTGTACAATAAATCTTTTATTTAAGATCGAAAGTAGTATTAAGGATAAAAATAAAATAAAAAATTGATCGGAAGTCCCTCATTAAAACTTAAAACATTAACTATACAAATGAACTTAGAATCTGTTTAATAACTCAAGTTTAAACTTATCTTTAATAAGGATGTAACTCTTATATAGAATCGTGTACAACCTACCAACAAGAGTTGGTCTAATTAGTAAGGAGTTGGCTCATAACCCATAAGATTGTGAGTTCGAATCTCGTTACTGATGTGAGGACCTTATTAATGAGCGATCTGTAAGTATCTCTGTAAGCGCTCTCTAAACTTAGAGGTATGCCTTGGCTTTGGTTAGTTCTCGGAACTCAACTCACCTAAACTTTTTATGTAAAAAAAAAAAATTGTGTACAACCTATCTTTAAAATTATACGCAAAATGGAAGATATTTACACATATTTAAAAATATGTTACATACAACTAAAAAAAATCACATCGACTAAAGATAAATTGTATCCACTCAGAACTTGGGTCTATAAAAAGAGAAGTAATTGATAACTTAATGTATTATATAGCTTTTTATATTTTTTTACACTATTTTTTGTCCTAAATATAATTTTTATTAATTGTAATGGGTCTTTACCAAGAGATAATTCCAATATATTATCTTTTATTCTTAATATAAGAGTAAAGCTAATATTTCGCTATTTTTTTTCTTAATTACTACTATCTCCAGTCATTAATATAAGAGCTAGTTAACTAATTTGAGTGAATTAATAAAACTAGTTAAGCTAATTATTTGTAATAAACATGTATTGTCTTTCCTAAGATATCCTTACTAATCAAGTATATTGAGTAGAACTACCATTATTATAATGACTACCTAAAAAATAATAAATATGAAAGACAAAATAAATTTTAGTCTTACACTTAAGACAAAAATAAAAATTAAATAAAATTTTACTTTAAGAACCCGCCAGTATATGACAAAAATTTCTTAAGGTGGGGTTTTTCGATTTGAGGTAATAATTAGCATTGACGCTACTCAATACTCATGCAATGTACGGGTAGGCTTTCAAAAATTCTACGCATGATTGTTGAATTGTTATCTCTTCGATTTCAGACATTGCCTATACAACGGACACGTGAGATAGCAACGTATAGCTAATCATCATATGTAAACATAAGTTTAGGTAGGCACAGACCAACCGCTCGTCCCATTGCATAATTGAAAAGATGTGTGTACAATGAAATACTCTCCCGGTTCTAAATATAAGATTATTTTTATAGTGTAATTTATACTATAAAAAAGATTTTATATTTAGGATCAGAGAAGTAGTTAAATATGGGGATTAGGTAATTTTGTACTATATAATTAGAAATGGAGAGATTATATTATTTGATGTACATCAATAATAATTTTGTAATAGCCCCGAAAATTTTTGTTAAAAATACAAGTGTTACGGTGTTAATATAATTTTTGGATTCCAAAATTTGGGATTATATTGATTTTAGTCTTTCAAATTTTAAACATATGATTTTAGTTTCTAAAATTTAGTCCATCTTAAAATGTCAGTCCCTGAAGATGTAGCAATATTAAAGTCTACCGAAGTGCCATAAACGATATTAAAGTGGTAAAGTAAACTCATTAGATGTCATCTATTTGGATCATATTTGAATAAGAGAGAGGTAAAAAAAAAAAACAGGTCCTCAAAATCATAAAAAATATTTTATGTCGTTTTATTTTTTTAAAATCCATAAAAAGATTTAAAACCGCAACATTTTAATTTGCTACTAATTTTATGTGGAATTTAATAATAAAAAGAAATGAAAAATCCAGAAAATCAGGACATTTTCATAGATATTAAAGAACATTAGAGAACCATATATTCCTCCAATATTTAATATAGAACCCGATTCTTGAGTTAGTTTTAATCTTAAATATAAGACCTATTTATCATATTTATTAATTTTTTCTAAATTACCTCTATGGATATTCCCTTAACTATAATCAAGTAGAAGAGGGAGAGATGTATTAAGAAAGATGATTATGGTGTTCTAGGAAAAATGTGTCACTTTTCTTATAATTAACTAACTTACTTAACTTTCTTAATCTAATCAAATTAATTAAATGAGTCTTATATTAAGGATCGGAGGAATATTAGAAACCCTTAACCTTAACCTTACATATGTCAACAAAATAAAAAATTGCCTCCTTCTGCGTCTCATTGGATCAATAATACTAATTTTGTAATTTTCTAATAGCTTCTTCCTCTTCTATAACAAGTTACCTTATTATAGTGCTAAATAGTGTAACTTATTTGAAGTTACATAATCCAAAGCGAGGATAAATATGTTTAAGGTTGAGAAGAGTAATGGAAACGAACAACAACACTTTAATATTTATATAATTGCTCCTTCGAAATAAATAATTAATAATTAAATTAATTAATACACTCTTGATAAAACGCTGCGTATAGACTCCAGAACGATAAGTTCATGTTTATTGCCTTGTACGACCTTTTTCTTCCCTCTTGTTTGGTTTTCGAAGTTGCAGAAAAGCGACTCTGCCCTCAGTTTCTCTGGAGTCCCCGAAACCAAAGTGCTTAGCTTCAAGCTAAGAACGATGAACATATATTGAAATTCAAGCTCCGATTTCATCCGAAAGCACGCTGAACATGACCATGTCTCTGGATTTTCCTTTCAGGAACAAGAATTTCCTGAGAATTCCTTCCCTCTGGAATCCAGCCTTCTCCAGAACTCTCTGAGATCCCACATTCTCAACATCCACGAGAGCTTCAAGCCTCACGAGATCTGGCAAATCAACGAACGCCATTTCCACCACCTGCTTCACTACCTTCGTGGCGATCCCTTTCCCCCAATACTTGGATCCCAAAATATACCCAATTTCCGCAGCTTTCGCCCTCGCTTTGTCGTCCCCTGAGTAGGATTGGACAGAAACAGAGCCAATCGCTCGATCGCCGATGCAGATAGCTCGGCACCACAAGAACTTGGTGGTGATGTTTAGGATGAAATCGACGGCGGCGTGCTTGCTTGTGTAGGGTTCCCAGGAGCAGAATTTGGTGACTCGTTCATCGGTGGCCCAGACCATGACATCGTCTGCGTCGGAAAGCTGGAATGGTCGGAGAGAGATGTGAGCCAAATCGAGAGTGTCTTGTTCCATGATTGAATAATGAGAAGGTGTTCGTCGATGGGGTATTTATGATCAAGAACTGGGAACGGCGGATTCGATGGATTTGAGCGTCGAATGTTCAAATGAAATTCAAAGATTTTATGGCTGCCGGCCGCCAACGCTGACTTCAACAAAGAAATAATTAATATTCCCCCCGTAGTAATAATAAGTGCTCACTGCTGCATTTTTTGTGGGATAAATTGAGTTGGGTTTCAAAAACTCATTAGGGCCATACTATACTTCTAGGTTTAGAAAACACTTACAGAAGTACTTACAGATCGCTCACCAACAAGGTCTTCACATCGGCAACGGGATTTGAACTTACAACCTTACAGGTTATGAGTCGATTCTTTACCAACTGAACCTAGTCTTGTTGGTTGCTCAATACTGCATTTAACTCGTTCGCGGGGTAACAAATCAACAGATTTCAAGTGCACTGGCCCATTGCTGTAAGCCCGAGCCCACTCTCTTTCTTAACCCTTTTCTTAACTCAAGGTTGCACTTGATCTTAGTATACACTAAGCTCAGCACACTAAGCTCAACTTCCCAAGTCTTGAGATCAGTTTGGATTGACAGCAGAAAAAATAACTTATAATCAATCTAATTGTTAGAAAAGTTAAATTAAGTAAAATTTAGATTGGGTAATATGATTTATGTTTGGATTAACTTTTATGAAAATTAGTTTGTAAAGTAAAAAAATTATTTGAATTATGATTAGATAAGTAAGTTTAACTTATAGAATGACCAAAATGAGTATAAATTTTATTAAATATTTAAAAAATAATTAAAAATATGAATTTACAAGATATACTAACTTTAAATTATTATAATGAGAAGAAATCATATTTAATAAATAAAATATATTTGAATTAGAAATCATACTAATGTGAAAATTTTTGAGCCAAATAATATTATATAATTAATTGGATGATATACTCTCCATAATTTATGCAAACATAAAATTGAAAACAATATTAAACATTAAAAATATTATAAGAACTATGTTAAAAATTATTTTTACTTAAGAAAATATTAAAAAAATAACTAAAAATCGATTGGGAAACATAAGGAATATGTAAAGAAAAGCATAAGAACAATATATACATAAGGGCATAAATGTCTTTTAATTCCAAAAAGTTATTCTTTTTTTTTTGGCTACAAGAGAAAGGGCTAAGCCCAACTAAAAACCAAAACTAAACAAAAGGGGATTTAAATCCCGTACACTCTGCAGCCACAAGGCTGCTAAACCACCGTGGACAAGAACTCGAGAGACAAGAATTACTGAGACCTTCCTTTACAAGAACGTCTACCACTTGATTTCGTTCCTTGGGAATATGCTGAATCTCCACTTGCCAATGAAGTGTCAAAAGGTCATGTATTTGCAATAGCAGGATGCTGTATAGGGAGTTGTCCTCCTTCCTTCTTATTAATTGAACCAATTGTTAAGCATCAGTTTCCAACATCACTTTTCTAAATCCCATGTCCCACGCCAATTGTAATCTTTGTAGACAGCCCATTGTTCTGCCTCTCCAGCATCACAGGATCCTATAAAATGAGAGAACCTAGCTATCCAGACGCCACTATGGTCCCTTAAGACTCCTCCACATCTAGCTTTATGAGTAGTTGAAGAAGCTGCCCTATCAACATTCAACTTAATCCATCCTTCAGGAGGAGGTTGCCATACTAGCGAGGAGTTAGAATCATGATTAGATAATACCTCAGTAGCTTGCATGAAACTTTTCCAGTAGTGCATAATGATAGTAGTTAATTGTGGATTGAAGAGAGCTTCATTTCGCCATTTCCAAATCTTCCAAATGGTGACTCCCCAAACTAAGTCCCATAAACCATCCATGGTAGAACTCAGATCTCTATTGAGATTTAGTGCAAACCATTCTTGCAGAGAAGTCACAAAGAAGGAATGGTAGTATCGAGGGTTCAAAATCTGCTTCCATAGATCACTGGCAAATTGATAATCATGTAAAATGTAAAAAGTGTCTTCTGTTCTTCAGTTGCAAAAATCGCATATTGGAGAGATAGCAGACCACATACTCTTCCAAACTTTGGTTGGAAGTCTATTATGGAACGCAATCCATATGAACACTTTAATTCTTTCAATGCCTTTCCATTTCCAGATGGCTATGTAAACCTTCTTAAAGGTTGATTCTTCACCCTGTTCTAGCAAGTAATAAGCACTTTTAATAAAAAAAGATCCCATTTTTCATAGTTCCCCAAGCTCGGGAATCTTCTTCAGCTGCCAACATTGGAGGTAATTTAGCAATTAGACTCTACAAGATATTATCAGGAACTAACGTTGCTAATCTGGTAAAATCCCAAGTCCCACAGGCAACCTAATCTGCTACTTTGCTTTCTTCTTCCTCTGCAGAGAGAGGTGCAAGGCAGAAATCTTTAATAATATTATCACCTAGTAACCATTTATCGGTAAAGAAGTGAACATATTTCCCATTTCTCACATTCCATTTCGAGCCCATGTCAATAAGATGCTGTTGCTGAGAGATAAATCTCCAGATAGGTGAATCTCTATTTTTGGCCTCTAACAAATTATTCTCATTCCTTACCATGTATCTATGTAGGAGAACATTGGTCCACAAGCCTTGCTCACCAGAAATGAGTTTCCAGGCTAATTTAGCACCGAAGGCATCATTCAAGCTTGAGAGTCTCTTAAATCCCAAACCTCCTTGTAATTTTGGCCGAATGATTTGTTCCCAACCAATAGGGTGGAACCCATGGGTTTTATTAGAACTTCCCTATATAAAATTCCTTTGAAGTCTCTCAACTTCTAAGCAGATTGAGACAAGAATCTTAGCCACTTGCATTAGATAGAGAGGAATAGAACTAAGTACTGATTTTTCTAGAACAATCCTTCCAGTTGTAGTAAGACAATTTTCCTTCCAATATGAGAGCCTAGATCTTGCATTGTCTACTATATATCGAAAAGTATCCTTGGGCTTTCTCCTTCTGGTGATTGGAGACCCAAGGTATTTGCCTACATCACAAGAGACATTAAAGCCGGTAATAGCACAAATCCTGTTTTTCAAGTTAGCATTAACCTTAGGGGAGAATGAAATAGAGGACTTGGACTTACTAATCTTTTCCCCAGAGGCGTTACAGAACCGATTCAAGCAAGACATCATAGACTGAGCTTGTCCTTCTGTGGCTTCTCTAAAGAGCAATAAATCTTCAGCAAACATAAGATGAGAGATAGTGGGCCCATTTCTAGTGATCATAATTGGTTTCCAGTCTCCATTATTCACAGAATCACCAATTACATGTGAGAGTCTATCCATGCAAAGTACAAAAAGAAGAGGAGAAATAGGATCTCCTTGCCTTAGGCCTCTTTGGGGGAAAACATAATTAGTGAGAGAGCCATTCCACAAAACATTGTAAGACACAGAGGTAACACAATTCATGATCAAATTAACAAATTGTTCCTCCATCCCTACATCAATGAGAACCTACCTCAAAAAATCCCACCTCAACTTATTGTAAGCCTTTTCATAGTCATGAAGCCTTTCTTGCCTTTTGCTTTTTTTTTTTTCATAATATGCATAATTTCCCGACCCACAATTATATTATCCTGGATATGTCTCCCTTTAATAAATCCATATTGGAAAGGAGAGATTAGATCATCCATCAGCCCTCTCAATCTATTCGTAATTAGCATGGTCAAACATTTATAATGGACAGGGCATAATGATATTGGCTGAAAATGACTCACTATTTCAGGGTCTTCCTTCTTGGGTATGAGAGCAATTAGAGTTTTATTAGCCTGAAGAAGTGGCAATTCCTGTGCAAAACTAGATTTCACAAAATTACAGATAGTGTCACTCACTGTTCCCCAATTAGCTTGATAGAATATAGGAGAGAAGCCATCGAAACCTGAAGCTTTGTAAGGACCCATAGCAAATAGAGCTGCTTTTATCTCATCATTTGTTAGAGGAGAATTTAAAGCTGTAACTTTAGAGGAATCCAGTCTAGGAAAGTTAATATCGGTTTGCAAATCACTAGGACAAGAATCATCAATTTGGAAAATTGTTTTGAAATGACACAGGACATGTTCTTTCAACTGTTCCTCATTCTCTATGCAGCAGCCATTCTCATCTTTGAGAGTAATTACTTTATTTTTCCTTCTTCTTATATTGGTTTTCATGTGGTAACAGCGGGTATTTTGGTCCCCCTTAGAAATCCATTGGGCTCTGGATTTTTGAAACCATTTTATCTCTTATAATTTCAAAATTTTATCAAGCTCCAGTTGCAAGGAATTTTCTAGCTTGCATAAAAAATTCAAGTAAGGATAAGCAGGAGAATTTTGAATGCCATTCAACCGAGTTAGAATAATTTTTTTCTTCTATTCAATAAGACTGAATACCTCCTTGTTTCAGACAGAAATAGAATTTTTAGAATTGTCAAGGGCATCATTAATCTCATCAGAAGTAGACCAATTACCCAAAAGAAAATCCTTAAAATTTTCATGACTAAGCCACATGGCTTCAAATTTAAAAGGTTTGGGAGCAGTACTGAGCATGGGACTAAGGAATTGAAGACAAATGGGATTATGGTCAGAGAATTTCATTTGAGGAAGTACCTTAAGCACAAAGTTTGGAAAAGTTGCCAGGAAGCTTGGATTACACAGGGATTGGTCCAATCTTTCATATAGGCGTCAAAAACCAGAAATACGTGGTCCTCTCCATGTATACTTAGGCCCTTTGAAGCCCATATCTACTAGTCCACAATCATTCACCTTATCTTGAAACCAGTTGATTCTGTTATGAGCAATGCTTGCTCCTCCTATTCAATCAGAAGCTAAAAGAATATCATTAAAGTCTCCCATGATTGTCCAAGGAGACGCAATACCGGTAGCTATTGAAGATAACTTCTCCCAGAACTGCCTTTTCAATTCGTTGATTGGCGTCACATACATTGCTGTCAAATGGAAAGAGTGTCGATTTGGAATTTCATAGACCACATGGAAGAATTGATGATCCTCTTCCTGGACAGTGATGCAAATCTACGAGCTCCTCCAAGCTAACACTAATCCACCAGAGCGCCCCCTGCTAGGAATTACTCGGAGACCATCGTAGCCCAAGGAGTGTAGGCACTGAAATCTGTTCGTCCTCTCACATCTTGTTTCAGCT